CCCCCCCCCCTTTTTTTTTTTTTTTTAAGGAGACGGAGTCTTGCTCTGTCGCCCAGGATGAAGTGCAGTGGCACAATCATAGCTCACTGCAACCTCAAATTCCTGTGCTTAAGCAATCCTCATGCCTAAGCTTCCTCAGTACCTGGGACCATAGGCACAAGTCACCATGCCAGGTTAATTTTTTGGTTTTTTTGATAGAGATGAGGTCTTGCTATGTTGTCCAGGCTGGTCTCAAGCCCCTAGCTTCATCTGATCCTCCTGCCTCAGCCTTTCAGAGTGCTGGGATTTCAGGTGTGAGTCACTGTGCCCGACCAGCCCTTTCTTAATTATGCTGGCTCATCCAATATCTAATGCTCTAAACTGTCATGGTGAAAACTACCTTGAACAGGTTCCTGAGCAGGAGCTAAGACTGGGACTTCTGTTGGCATTTGTTGTTCATTCATAACCGCCATGTTAGGAGCTTCAGTCATCATTTGTTGAAATGGAAACATATAAAAAGCTTGGGCTTGCTGGAGGGAATAGCTGAAAGAAATTAAGCATAAGACACAAGGGATAAAATTACCCAAATGAAAAATTCACATGATCAGCTGTAAAAAAAAATCTTCCAGATCCCAATATTTTGTAATCAGATTGTAGCATCTGTTTCGAGTAGACCACAGGGGAGAAGAAAGAGGAGGGACATCTATTCCCATACATGCCTATTTACTCAAACTCTGCTGAGCGCTTATTAGCCAAGCATTAACTCTCAGTGATTAATGACAAGATGTGTCACCAATAAAACTTAGTCTTGGCAAGTCAGCCTGTACTTTCTCTGAAGTGAGATCATGGGAACTTTCTAGTAAACAGATTTGAAAGGCCTGTCAACCCACGAAGAGTTAAAATACCCACAAATAGAATTTGTGTCCCTACCTTCACACTTTAATCATCTTGTCACCAAGATGCTCTCCAATTTAACTTAAGGTTTTCTTTTGGTTTTTTGCCTGTTTACTTATTTACTTGTTGGATTTGTTTTTTATTGTTTTGTTAGGGTTGGTTTGTTTTCTTTGCCACTGCTGTGGTTTGAATGTGTGTTTGTGTGTGTGTTTGTGTGTGTCCCCGCCAAAGTTCATGTGTTGAAAAGTTAATCCCCAAACAGTATTGACAGGTGGCACCTCTAAGAGGTGATAAGGTCCTGAGGACACTGCCTTCATGAATGGATTAATGCTGTTATTAGGGGAGTTGGATTAGTTACAGTGGGAGAGTGTCCCTGATAAAAGGATGACTTTGAGCCCCTTCCTATCTTTGAAAGTGCTCTCTTGCCCCATGATGTCTTCAGCCATGTTACATTCCTGCAAGGAGGCCCTCACCAGATGCAGCCCCGCGATCTTGGACTTTTTTCAGCCTGCAGACTTGCAGCCAACTAAATACCTATTGTTTATAAATTACGCAATCTGTGGCATTTTGCTACAGCAGCACAAAAGAAACTAAAACAGCTACCACACAGGGACAAGAAATGGATGCCTTGCAAACCAATAAACACTCTCTTTTGAATATTATTTAAACTTTGTTCAAAGTAAAGAATATAGGCCTTTAAAAAATTTCTGATGACCTTAAATCACTATCTCAAGTGGTTGCTCTCAGCACAAAATTAGTGAAGCAGACACATATTTGAGGAAACTCAAGTTACAGCCAATGGCAAATAATGCCATTAAATATACAGGAGGAAGAAAAAGATTAGGAAATAAAATGGAAAAGTATCATTTACGATTTGAAGAGAAAAGTCATGTTATCGATGGCAAGACAACTCTATTAATTAGTTTTATTTCTATGTAATATTTGGAGAAAGAACAGGAAACTAAGAAAGCAGAGATTAGAAAGGCAAACGGGCACAGTGGCTCATGCCTGTAATCCTAGCACTTTGGGAGGCTGAGGTGAGAGGATTGCTTGAGCTCAGGAGTTCAAGATCAGCCTGGGCAACGTAGCGAGACCATATCTCTACAAAAAAAAAAAATCAAAACATTAGCCAGGCATGATGGTGCACGCCTACAGTCCCAGATACTCAGGAGGCTGAGGTAGGATTGCCTGAGCCCAGGTGGACAAGACTGTAATGAGTCATAATTGTGCTACTGCATTCCAACCTGGGAGACACAGAGAGACCCCAACACACACACACATACACACACACACACACACACACACACACACACACACACAGAAATGAGTCCATTTACATGGGTGAACTCTAGTACGTAAATCATATCTCAACACAATGGTTAAGAAAAAAGGCCAACTAAAGCATTCTCTGTATAAGCTTAAATGGCCTGGGGAGACACAGGGTAACAGGGGGCTGGGCTAGAACGCTGGCAACTCCAAGATAAACAGAGGCCCAATTCCTATGGCCTAACTGAACCACCAGAGAGGCATTTCGACTTCAAGCTATCGTAACCCATTTGTGACCAGCAAATTTTTCACTTTCCTAATACTGAGTGCAGTGATAGTAAAAAAAAAAATCTGAAGTTGGTTGCTGCAAACTTCTATTGTTAAACATAAGTGAAATGGTCTTTCTAAATTGTCACCTTTTCTACAATACAGCTGAAAGTGGTAAACATATCCAGTATTTGCCTCAGACACCATTCTGACTAGCATTTCATACTTTGTATTTTTACTTGGATCATAAATTCAAAAAGACAGTCTTCCATGATGAGGTAAATTCATAGCATTTCATACTTTGTATTTTTACTTGGATCATAAATTCAAAAAGACAGTCTTCCATGATGAGGTAAATTCACGTCAGCAGCAACCAGGAACAGAATTTGGAATGATGTAAATGCACATGGGTGGTTGTGAATGAGTTAAGAGTAAGTTGATAAAAACATTAGGTGGGCATGGTGGTGCGTGCCTGTGGTTCCAGCTACTTGGAAGGTTGAGGAGGATCACCTAAGCAGCAGGTGGAGGCTGCAGTGGCCATGAGTGTGCCACTGCACTCCAGGCTGCGTGACAGAGTGAGAGTTTGACTTTAAAAAAAAAAAAGAAGTTGATAAAGAAAAAAATTAAGAAAGATTAAATGAGAAAAATATTAAACTACAGCTTAAGCATTTTAGTTCTTTAAATATACTGTTCTCAAGTTACATAAAAATAAAGATGATACAATAAGTTAATAAACTACATTTACATGAGAAAATATTATGTAGCTATTAAAAGTTAAATGCATGGACATTACATAAAAGCACAGAAAACATTTAATATACAAGGGGGGACTCCCACAAACAGAATTTATTTATACAAAATTGTGTATTTATCCTTATATGTTTAAACTTCAGTCACCTTCAAAGTACTCTCCGTTGGATGCAATACACCTATCAAGATGCTTTTTCCACTACACAAAACAGTTTTTGAACTCGTCAATTCTGAAAACTTTTAGTGCTTCTGCCATTGTTTGTTCACCTCTTCCACATCAGCAAAACGTTTCCCTTTAAGGACTTTTTTTTATGGGGAGACAAAAAAAAAAAAAAAAAGTTGCTCAGGGCAAGATGGGGTGAATTGGGAGGGTGAGGCACGGGATCATGCCCTTTTATGGTCAAAACTGCTGAACACTTAGTGTGGTGTGGGCAGGTGTGCTCTTAAACCGCCCATCATGAAATGGGCAAACGTTTTGAAAGAATCTCCAAAAAAAATTCACTGAAGTCAATCACAGCCTCTCACAACAAAGCTAGCTGGCACACTGATACTGATGGGTTCTTGCAACACTTAGTGGGGGAGGCCTGTTACTACCAGGGGCCTGCCCTCCAAGAAACAATTCCGTGTCTTTGGGTTGTGTGTCCCACTTTGCATTTTAAAGGAGAAAAGAGTACAAAATAGTATCATAAACTAAAGCTGCACGTAGGGAAAATATGTAGACAGGGACTAGAAGTTATAATGTAAAAATGAAGACAAGTGCTTAAAACCATGACTGGCACAAAGTAGAATGTCCTGTCTTTCATATTTCTAATACCATTAGTAGCTTTTTTCAGTGCCAGGTGTGGTGACTCATACCTGTAATTCCAGAATTGCTTGAGCCTAGTTCATTCCTGGAATTCTAGTACTTTGGGAGGCCAAGGCAGGAGGACTGTTGAGCCTGGGAGTTTGAGATCTGCCTAGGCAATATAGCAAGACCTTGTCTCTACACACACACACACACACACACACACACACACAAAATCAAAAAATTAGCTAGGCTCGATAGTGCAGGCCTATAGTCCCAGATACTCAGGAGGCTGAGGCAGGAGGAACACCTGAACCCAGAAGGCTGAGGCTGTGGGGAGCCTTGATGGCACTCCAGCTTGGGCAACAGAGTGAGACCCTGACTCAAAAAAAGGAAGAAAGAAAAGAAAAACAGTCATTAATAGCTCTTTTCAATAAATTGTGACAGTATTGGTTGTTCAATGTTTATGATTTATATATTCAAATGAGGAGCTGAATATGGCTAGGTTAGACCAAGACCTTGAGCAGCTACCCTGTGGAAATTCTTAAAAATGAACTGACGCCGGGCTCGGTGGCTCAGCCTGTAATCCCGTGCCTTTGGGAGGCTGAGGTGAGTGGATTGCCTGAGCCCGCGGGTTCGAGACCCGCCTGGGCGGCGAGACCTCATCTCTACAATAAATCAAAAAATCAGCCGGGTGTGGTAGCGCCTGCCTGTAATTCTGGCTACTCGGAAGGCTGAGGCGGAAGGATCGCCGGAGCCCAGCAGGAGAGGCTGCGGTGGCCGGGAGCGGCCACGGCACTCCAGTCTGGGTGACAGAGTGAGACTCCAACTCAAAAAAAAAAAAAAAAAGTGAACTGCCAACTTTTGATTGTGGTCAAATGGCAACTTCCCAAGATGCTAATTGCCCCTTTCAGCTGGTAGATACAAAAGTAAAGAGGTAGTCACAATCAATGAGTGGCCAAAAGGATGCACGAGGTAACCTTTGTCACATGTCTGGAAAGTAGCCGCCTTCCAACCCTCCCTCATGCTTCTTGCTATTGCTCTTGGAGTTTTATGACTGTGGCCCATTTTGAACACTTCACAAAAAATTCAAACTTAAAAACCATAAATTAGGGAGGCACCATTCACATCACGAAAAGATTCTTCATTTTAAAAAAATTCCACAATATAGCTCCCTTAGTACAGTTGTGAGTCATTAAATATCTCTAAAAATTCTGGGGCTCAGAAACTGAAAATTAAAATTCTAGAAATCACAGTTGGCTGAAAAAAAAAGTGAAAAACAAGGAAGAAAAAGAATCTGAACTTTTATATTAGAGGCATATACCAATTTTTAAAGCAGCCCAGAAGTTTACCTACAGTAACAATATATCCTTTAATCTTTCTAAAATTGATCCATGGTACTTTACAATAAGTTAATTTAGCAAAGAATAAAGCTATAGAAAGTAAAATGTGTTAGCTGTGGTAATATACTATCTTCAAGCATTAAATCTAGACTGATGATCTCAATAGCTTCCCCACAGCCAAAATAAAAGGAAGGTAGATTATGACACCCTTATTATTTGGCAAAAGCAGGCATTACATC